GGTGACAGCATCACCTCCTGCCTGCTCCCACACCACCCCAGCGATCCCTGCTCTGGTTGCACTGTCCAGGCAATGGCACTGCAAGAACAGCTGCCTGCTACCCAGGATCTTGGACTAGACAGGGGATACCCCATCTAGTGGGGCTGGTGGGGCTGGCACTGGTCTTCACCCACTCTTCTCTGGCCAAAATGGGGCTGGGGGGGACAAGACACAGGGGCTGGGGATTGGCTGAGCAGGATCGTAAGGAAAGGATGCTGCTGGCGTGGCAGCTGGGGAGAAGCCCCTTCTTGATGAGTGAGGTAGGTGGGTGTTTTTCTTTGTAGCTGGCATCACAGGGAAAATTAAATGCTCAGAAGGCCCCTGGCCTTCCCTTGGTGGTTTTTTGGCCAAAAAGGAGCAGAGCTTTTTTGGCAGCCAGGGCACAGACCACATCCCACCTGTTCCTGAGGAAACGTGGGGACTGATGCATGCCCCAGCACCCTGCCTGCTAAAGCCATGGACTAGATCCCAAAGGGTTGGTGCAAAACCGACAAGAACTGAAAAACTGAAGGCGCTGGGGTGTCCCTGAGGTCCTCACATCCCAGGCAGCTTCAGTGCTCTCAGGTTGCCTCCTCCAGCTTCCCAGCATAACTGCACCAGTGAAAAGGACATCTCTTCTAACCCCCCCATTGCAGGAACATCCTTCACTGAGCACCCTGCCTTGTGGGAGCCTTGATGAAAGGCCATTCCCAGCAGCATCCCTGTACCTCAGTACCTCTGCAACACAGAGTCCCTGGCCAGAAGAGCTGCCCACGCAGGGCCTCTTGATGGTTTTTGGCTTGTTCAGGGGAAAGGGATCATTATTAGTGTGCAGGAAAAGGGCAGCAAGGGTGGCTCACGTCATCTGCCTGCCCGCTGCGGTTGCACTCCTGACAGGGCAGTACCTCTGCCAAGCACCCAGCAAGGCAGGTGCCTGCAAATGGGTTATGGATGATGACAACAACAGTGACAGCAGCAAAGGGCAAGCAATAACCAGGGCACAGCCTGCTCCGCACCAAGACCCTGATCAAGAGAGGCGACAGCCACTGCTGTGCACTCAGCTACGGCACAAGAGCTGAGTTCCCAGCCTGGCCTGGCTGCTGAGCACTAACCCATCAGCTGTAGGTGAAAAACAACCTCCCCTCAAACCCTTTGTTGCTATGCTAACAAGGACCCCAAGGAGCCCAGGAGAGCCACGATTCTCCTGAGAGGGTCCCCACTTCTCCCTTTCAGCCATGCCTGAAAAGCACCAGAAACAGAGCGGAGGGAGCATCCCAGGTAAACTGGAAAACTGCATTCCCGCAGCGAGCGGATCAATTATTTCACTTCAGGTCTGTTGACTTGTATTGCTGCAGCTTGATCAGTCTTGTTTAACAAATGCATCTAGAAGATGTCAAGCCTAAGTGCTGCCCACCTCGTGCAGTATGGAGGACCATTCCCCCTTCCTTCACCTGCCCCTCAGCTCCCCAACACGGCAGAGGCTGCCATCACGGATGGGATCAGACCGGAGAGAACGGTGTGAAGTGGGACACAGTGGCTGCATTTGCACACTGCTATGGCTGCGATATCCCCCCCCGCCATCTCTACAGATTGCTGTCATACCCCTACTCTTCCAGGCTGCAATAGACACTCCCGCTGGCATCCTGCCTGCTCACCTGCCTCTCGCCTGCTGGCACTTGGTGCTGCTTGCAGCTTCTGCCTGGTCACCTCCACCCAGACACGAGGTTCTTTCTTGGTGGTGTGGGAAAAACGGGAACAGGAGAGGAGAGAACTTCTGGGGCCGCTGTGCCTACACCCGTGGCAAGCACCGCCTCTTCATAATGCCATCGAGCTTTTCAGAGGGATGAAGAGCCTGTCTGTCCAGCTTCTGGGATCCCGGGTGCCCTTCAGCCCCTGCACTCACCGTGCTGCTGGTGAGGTCAATCTACACAGCTCTTATGGGGCTTTACCCTCCTCTATAGCAGAGTCATTTTTGACATCCACTTTCTATAAGACTACTTTCAGATGGTCCCTCTGCACAGGTGCTGAGGCAGGCTGCCAGCAGAAACAGAGCAGGTGAGAGGAGAGGGGAGAGCAAAACTGAAGGCAGGGGAAAGGAGAACAGGCAGCGGAGAGGAAGCCGGGACAGGGCCAGCAGCTCATTGTACTGGTGCTGGTGCCACTCGCCAGGGAGGGAAGGAGGTGAGGAGGGAGGCAAGGGGAAGTGTCAGGTCATTTTTCTGAACCTTTTGCAGGGGACAGAATGGGGGACACTGCCTCCCATGTTTTTGCACAGCACCAGGCTCCCTCTGAAGTGTTTTGGGAGAAATGTTGCCATAGAAATAAAATAGACATCCAGATTGTGAGGGGCAAACCCACTGCCGTGGTGGCAGGGGCTGGTGCAGGCACGGGCAAAGTAGCTGCAGGAGTCCCTGGCTGGCAGCGTGGGGCAGTGCCAGGCTGGAGGGTACCTTGTTCTCCACCCTCTGCTCCCTAATCTCCAATGACAGCAGCAGTGGTGCTGGTGCCAGGAGATGGTAGGCATCTTCTCCCCAGATAAACCAATGGGTGAATGCCAAAGCTGTCCCTGAAGCAAGCTGCCTGTTTCCAGGCTCCCAGGAGGACAGGCATGGAGGTGCATGGGTCTCTGGGACCGTTGGGGCAGGGTCACATGGCAGCCAGCTCACATCCCTCATCTGCCTGGTCCTTGGCACCATCTTCACTGCCGGAGAACAAGCCTGAGAGGTCTGAGGATCAGAACCAGCTCAAAGGCACCCCCTGTCTGTCCCAAGACAGAGAATCAACATCTCTCACAAGAAGAGACTTCAAGCCCAACCATCCCCACTAAAGCCACCTTGTTTGGGGAGGGAAACCAGCGCAGGTGCCTCCTGGGGCTCCATGTGAGGCCCCTCCGCCCTGGAGCGCAGAGGCAGTGCTGTGAAGGAGCATGAATTTAGCCTGACTCAGTTTCGCAGTGCTGTGAGGCAAGCGCAGACAGCTTCACTCAGTCCTTGCCATTCACAGAAAAACGAGCACCAGTGGGAGGCTGGGAGCTGCGTGTATGAGTAAGGGATCGATTGCTAAGACGCCAGCATCCATCTATTGATTCCTGGCTGCACTGTCGGGTTAAGCCAACCCAGTGCAATAATGAGACAGGACAGGGGAACATGCTGAGGGCAGATTGCCATTAACTGCTTTGCTTATGGTCTGCACTGATGTCAGCACACGGCAGGCACAGGTATCCATCACCATGTCCTCCTCCTCATTGCTGCCACCCTCCCATCAGTGATGCCACCCCAGGAATACAGCTGTTCCCAGCGTGGTGGCCAGTGGCTGAGCTTGGGGTGGCCAAGTGGCCAGAGGGACCAGTGAGGATCCATCCTGCCAGACAACTCCATCCTTCCCCAGGCACCTCCTCACTTTCCAGCTTTCCTTGAAAACCACGGGGGGGGGCTGCAGGGGGCAAGGACCACTGCCAGTCCCCTATCAGCACCACACATTGGGGCACTTGATCTTGGCATCCGAATGGGGGGAGAGATGGAAGAGGAGAAAGATGGAGGAGAGGGAGTCCCACTTCCCTCCGGACCAGCCCTCTCCAGCTACTCCTGTCTGTGGTCATTCCTCACCATCCCTCCTCTTCCCCACCACCCCCTGTCCCCACCAGACTCATGTTTCCATCCTAAGGCACGTATTTCCCCTGTACTTATTACTATTGTCAGTGGCCACAAACAGGGGTGGTCACGTGCCAGGGTGTCTCAGGCTTCTGTGCATGCCACTTCTGATGGTGAATGGAGAAGGGGCGTATTTGCATGGCTCCATCAAGATGTGTTCCCCATCCACCCACCTGTCCTCTCCCAGGCTCTGGGTGGCCCCAGACCCTGAGCTCATCTCCACACCTCCCACCCCCTCTGGATGCCTCCTCCCGAGAAGCCAAGAAGAGCACAGAGCAGGGATAGAGGGTAGTCTTGGAGCCACATCACCTTCACCATGCATCCTCCGTGTGTGCTGTCACTGTCTCCCCTTCACAGCACAGCCCCCCAAAAAGAGGAATGGGAAAAGGTAGAGGCTTCAGATCCTCTGTTCACTTCGCCATGGATAGAGTCCAGATGGAGCAGTGGGGACAGGATCTCCAGGTTCTTGGCAGAGGGATTTGGTTGACTCCAGGTGTTTTGCCCAGAAGAGAAGGTCTTGTGGGCTGAAGGTGGCACCAGGGATATCTGAAGGGACCTGCCAGCACCACACAAACCTGCCTGCCCATTTGTGCCCTGATGGGGATGCTGACCTTGCTAACAGGGAGCAAAGGCAGAGTTTCTCTGGCAGTTTGCTCATGGCTTCCTCCTGAACTGCTTTCACCCAAACCTAGTATGCAGAAGACCCTTTGCAACTATCCGGAGGATGTTGGACCACCAGCAGCAGGATCAGTCATGCTGGGAGTAGGAAAGGTGGAAGGCAAGGGAGGGAGGGGCAGGTCTGGAGCCCAAAAAGCTCCGCAGGCAGTAGGAGAACCAACACATTCACTTCAGCTCCATTTGCACCCGAGCGCTTGGAAAACGGATGTCCAGCTGCATTCTTCCCTATAAACTGTCTGGGACCATTGCCCACATGGAGCAGGAGAAAAAGGTGAGCAAGACCCAGCCCAGAGCAAGAAGACACTAAGGAAACATGGGGAGCAGTAAAAATGAAGAAGTTACTTGCAAAGCGACCAAAGTCAGGGTGGCAAGGGGTGGGGAGGGAAGTTGGGGAGGTTTACAGGCAGGTGCCCACCCCTGCCCCTCGGCCCACGGCCACCCCGGTAGCTGTACGTGCATATGCCGTGCACACAGGCAACTTTATTATTCACTGGCACAGTCACACAAAGCCACACATCTCTCCCTAAGTTATATTTATAGCTGTTCCTCAGAGTGAACGCAAACGAAACAATACATTATTTTCCTAAGAGAAAAAAACCCCTTCCCGGTCTCATGCCAATGAGGGGAGCAGCGCGCCCCGGCACCGCCTCTTACCCGGGTCCTGCCGAGGGCTGCTGCCTGCTCCAGCCGTGCCTAGCCAACATCAGAGGAAGGGGAAAGCGGACGTTTTCTCCATCTCACCATGAAATGTCTCAGCCAGACCGGAGGAATCAGGGAAGTCTCTCTGCAGCCCTCGCTCGCCTCCAGCTTAGGTTTATTTTTTCCCCCCGAAGAGCTACTTCTCTGCTGCGACCTGCTCCTCTCCTAACTCTGCCCTGCCCACGCCAGTGCTCTCCTCCTGCCTCTGCCTCTCAGAATTTTTTGCTCCCAGGAGCGTCCATCCCACGGAGCGCTGATGTGCCTTCGTGGCTCGGCGATGGGTTCAGGTCTCCCCCTCCTGCCTGATTCCCTCCTTCTCTGGCATTATTTGCCCGTGTCTCTCGCTGCCTCCCTGCTCTAGTCCCCAAATCCCCCCTCTCCCTTCCACTCTTCCTCCCTTTGCGCTCTGCTCCCGTTCCCTGGCTGCCTCTCCCCCTCGCTGATTGCTATGCAGTCTGTAGCTGAGAAGTCAGTAACTCTGTGGTAGGATCCAACAGCTTTCCGCTACTTTAGCCCATCCTCGCATGTGAGCTCAGAGCTGCGGAACCACCATGGGGGAGATGAGAGCAACCATCAGCACCAGGGAAGGGATGGCGGGGCCACCAGATGCCCTCAAGGGGGTGAATCCTCCTGCTGGGCTGGTGCACAGGGGTGAATTATCCACTGTCAGGGTTTTTTTCCCCGCCTGGATTTGGGGTGCTGGGCTGACACCTCGCTCTGAGGAAGGACCGGGCTCTCCCAGCTGATGCAGAGCATTTGCTGTGGGGCATTGCCTCCCCACTCTACAGAGCTGGGGATTTCCTTCTGGGATGGGTAATGCTGGAGACAGGAGCGTGGGCACAGAGGGACCAGCCCTCAGGGATCCAGGATAGTGCACAGGAAACATGTCCAGGCACCCTGACAGGAAACATGTCCAGGCAACCTCCTCTGGGTCTCCATGGGCAGCAGCATCTCAGAGGCTTTGAAGAAGTCACTTCTTGGTGACAAGATGAGAGGCCGGGGGACTCTGCTGCAGCAAAGCCGGAGGCTGAAGAGAGCCCTGACCACACAGGCAGTGGCATGGGGTCCTGGGGACAGCCCTGCTCCGGGACAGCCCTGCTCCAGGACAGCATGGTTTGACGACATGGTTTCCATATTGGAGTCTCATCTGCTGTCCCCAGTGTTAAGGCCTGTGCTGAAAAGTCAAAAAATATCAAAAAACCCCGTTTTGAGTCTCCTCTGGGCTCCAATCCTGCAAAAATCACAACCCTCCCTCCCAAAATCATCCCAAGATCCCCTTGCACAAGGCACTGTGGGGCCTGCTGTCCCCCACTGGCATCAGCGAGCACTGCCGTGGTGAGCAAAGCCCGCTCCCAACTGGCAAAGCCATCACCAGGGAAGCAGAGGGTGAGTTTGGTAGCTCCATGCAGATGAGCAGCTGCAAAGCAGGAGCTCATCAGCCTCCTGCATGGGCCAGCTCATCTCAGTGCACTCATGGCTCCTCCCTCCTGCTCCCGTGGGGGGTTCCCCGGGAGCTGCTGCACCTGGATGGAATGGGGCCAGCCTATCTATGCCCTCTGTAGCCATCCCTAAGGGAACCTTGTTCAGGTTCATAGGGGTACTTGCTTTCCCAAAAGCCCTGTCCCTATGGCCCATGGGGCTGCTTCCCAAGAGCTACGGGCCAGTAGCTGTCCATTTGCCCTGTGGCAAAGCATGCCATCCCTCGGGCACCATGACAGGCCTTTCTCCTCCATGCAGTAAAGGGATGAAGATGTTGCTGAGACATCTTGCTCCTTCCTGGAGTGGGCAAAGCCACCAAATACCTGCACAACCCTGTGGTCACCTCAGCTTCAGGCTGGCTTTCCTCTTCTCTGCCTTTCGCTCCTCATTGCTGGCTCCCCACAAGACCTCACCGTGTTTCCCTCCACCTGTACAGCAAGAGGATGAATAGCTACACCTCGTGCATGGTGTGGCAGCCCAGCATAGCCAAGAGGCAGCTGGCACTGCTGGAGCCATTGAGAGGGACAAGGGGATGTCACACTGAGGATGCCACTGGCCCTTAGCTGTCTTTGTGCCCCCAAGGTGCCACGCCCTGACCGCCCCATGGCCACCGGCCCCAGCAGCAGGGTGGCTCACACTCGCCACCCCCGCTCGTCTCCACCAGCACCGTCTTTAATAAGAAGCGTGGAATATTTTAGCACCTATGGAAAAGCCACCACAGACGGTGGTGGTAGCCGTTGCCAGGGAGACGCTCCCAAAAATAGCCCCACTCCGCCAACCTTTCCCAATGCTGCTGTGGGGATTGAGGGAGGCAAAGGGATAGAAGGATGGAGGGATGAAAGGATGGAGGGAAGAATGGATAGAGGAATAGATGAAAGGAGGGAAAGAGATGGAGAGATGGATGGAGGAATGTTTGGAGGGATGAATGGAGGAATATTTGGAGGGATGAATGGAGGGATGAATGGAGAAAGAGGGAGGGAGGGAGGGAAGGAAGGGAGGGAGAAGCAAGAGCTCCTAGGAAGGTGAGCAACTGCTGCCTGACCTATCTCCTGCCTGGGGATGAAGACAAGTGCTACCTTTGTGCCAGCAGCCCCTGCTTGGACACCTATGGTCCCACGTTCCTGTGATACCAGCTAAGCCAGCACAAACCTTCAAGTGCTCTCTGCCCTGGGCAGTTCTGACTTTGTGTTTAAACCAGACAACAAAGGTTTGGATTCCTTAGCACCTGCAAGGCTCCCTCTACGATTCTCCTGCAATCATCCCATCCTTGTCCCCCACCAGTGCTCTAGGACCACCCCAGCCAAACTGACCTGGTCTTGGGGGGCAGAGATGGTGAGACACAGAGATGGCTCACGGTGTTCAATCCCACCATGTTTCCCAGCCCCTCCAGGTATGCTGAATCATTTCCCTCTCTTGGATGAATGCCTGAGGCTGCCCACTCTCCCAGGAGGTCTGGATGCAGCTTGAGCCACATCCTGCAGCAGAAATGGAGGGGGGCACCAAGCCAAGCACCTCTGTGACAAAAGCACAGAAGCCTTCCTGGTAGCAGGAAACAAATGTTTTAGTAAGAAGGAAACCCCCTTTGTCCCTCTTATCCCAACACTATTGCCTCGCAGGACAGGCAGAAATGGGGAACAGCACTGGATGGAGCTGCTGCTGCCTGGCCCAGAGGCTCTGCAGGAGGAGCCTTCCAGACCAGCAGAGGCAGAGAGGGAAACCCCCAAAATAGAACTAAAGGGGGAGGGGGAGAGAGGGAAGAAAAATAAACCCAACAACCCCAAATTCTTGATTTTAATGCCAAATCCCAGCTCACTTGCCTCCCTGTCACCCTGGCGACATTCCTTGTGGTCACCATGGAAACGGGAGGCATGGAGAGAGCATCACTGTGTAGGGTGGTGGCAGCACCCGGCATTATTTCGGGAGGCAGGGAGACACCCAGCCCAAGGCACTTCGTGTTGTGGCAGGGAGGGAGGAAGGAAGGTTTATTTTTGGTTCCTCCCACTTCATGTGCCCAATATTTCATCTCTTAGGGCCTGGCTGCCCCTTGGCCTCCAGGCAGCTTTCCCATGGCCCTCATGTGTGCCACACAGGGATGTCCCATGGGGAAACCCCAGCCCCACCACCACGTCCCAGCTGGGTGAGCTCGATTGGGCTGCTCCCGGGAAGTCCTTCTGATGGTCACCTGAGCTGGGGATTCCTGGTGCCACAGCAGAAGATAATGCTGTGACTTGGAACCCATCAGTTCTTCTTGGGAAGGTGCAAGATTAAGAGAATAAACCTTGGCCACCCACAACAGTGTTACCCCTCTGCAGGGGACTTCTTTTCCTGGGTGAGACAAGAAACTGCAAAGAGGAGTGCAGAGACAAGAGAAAGACAAGGGCTCTTGGACATTGCGCTCCAGAGGCTTGGAAAGGGATCCATTGGAAGAGAAGACCCCAAATCTGTTCCTTCCCCTAAGCTTTCCATCCCTGCTCCATGGCTCAGACCTCTCTTTGCCCACCTGCAAAAGGACCTGGGATACTAGGGCCCTGCAGGGCCACCAGGCCACCAGCACCCACATGGCCCTGCTGAAATCCCAGGCAGCATCGCCCTGATGGCTGAAAACCCAATTTCAGCCAGTCCCTACTCTGTTGCTCCTTTGCCGATGCTGTTGTTTGGTCTTCTCCCGCTCTTCTCCCACCACACCAACCTCTGCTTCAGTGCCCTGGCAGGGCCATCCCCAGTTTCATGGGGCTGAGCAGGTGTTTTCTAACACAGTCTGTGAATCCATCTGGAAAAGCCTGATGATGCAGGTGCTAGAGCATCAGAGAGGGAAAACACAACTGCCAGCCTAATGGGCAGGGAGGAAATGTATGCAAATGTATTCAGAAAGGGATCCGGTGATGCTAATAGGCTTGTTAATCCTTTCAGAAAGCACCAGGAATAATATTTTTACACTTTAAGAATTTTACTCCAAGCAAGTTCATAAGGACAGAGACACGTGTAGGAGACAGCCACGGGTGATGGCTGGGGACAGGGAGCGCAGCAGCCAGAGCTGACTCTGGGGCAAGAGGAGGCAGGATCACATAACCCAAGAGTAACCAAATTAGACCCACAGCTCAGGGATGAGGTAACAAATTGAAACATCCATTTGGTTGTATTATAGCAACTTAATATAAAGTTAAATAAATTTATTTAATTAATTTATTATATTTATTTATATTATATTAAAAAAATTAAGGCACTTAATACAAAGTGATTAGATATTGAATATCTAGTTGCTGGTTCTTGATGCAGATGTCCCCCCACTGCTGCCATGAGATCTCCCTGTGTAACCGCTTCTCTAAGGACAAGGTTTATCTGAACCAGGCTGGTCACTTAGAGCTGTTTTCAAATATATTAGAACTTTCTAACAGTCACTACTGAGCTCCTTTCTGTGAAATCAGCAGCGCCCATGTGCTCCTTTCACTCAACACATGAACTATGTTGTTTGTAACACACTTGCAGGCATCCAGGATTAATATTTTCAGTGAAGTTTGTTTCAAACCAGCCCTTGGGAGGATCTTTTCTTTCCTCCTGGGCTGGGGTCTGGGATCCACGCTGCTCCAGATGGGAAATCTGAAGGTACGGTTGCCTGGTGGGGCAGTCACCAGGGAACGCCTGTGCATGAACTGCTGTGGAAGAGCTGCAATGGTTTGGTAATTCGAATCTCTCCCCACGTCTTTTGCTCCAGGAGACAAGGTGGAGCACTGGAGAGAAGGTACTGGAGGCGGGATGGGGCCAGCAAGGGCAGAGGGCAGAAGGCTGCTGGCTGGGAGCAGGACAGAGGTTAATGCACCCATGGTGAACTTCCCTGGGAAGCCTGGCCCCGCAGGAGGGTGTGTCCTCAAGGCCAGAGGATGGGAATCCCGTTCCCTCTGCCTTTTCCCCTTTAGCCATACTTCCGTGTGTAACTTGAGACAAGCTGGGGAAGAAAAAAGAGGAAAGAAAAAAAAAGAAAAAGGGAAAAATAGCGCAGTTATTCCCGCCTCTGCCTCCTCCTCTCTCTCCTCCCCGGCCAGCCAGGAGCCACGTCACCGTCACCCAGCGCTGGCTTCAGGGCTGCTCAGCCTGGGGCTCTCCGGGGCACAAACCCCAACTTTCAGCCTAAAGCAGGGAGAGGAAGGCCCTAGCCTGGGAGAGGGAAAATACACCTTGGTGGAAAAGTAATTAAGGGAGACATCCAGCCTGGAAGGCAAAAGGCACCCACAATCAGTGAAGAGAAGAGCCTGAACTTTGCTCCACAAGAAGGGAGGGCTCTGTGCTCAGGGAAAAAGGAAAGTTAAGCCGGAGGAGACTGTTCACTCAGTTGAGGCTCAGGGAAGAAAAACTCCCTGCCCTCACCCTCCCTGACTGCAGAAAGTGCCACACTCCCTTCGTCCCAGAGGAGCCCCCCCGCCCCCGGCACCATGAACATCTTCCGCATCCTGGGCGATATCTCCCACTTGCTGGCCATCATTATTCTCCTCCTGAAGATCCTGAAGTCCAAGTCTTGTGCCGGTGAGTGCTTCCATGCCTCAGGGAAGGAGGGTGGTCTTTCTTGGAGGGCAGCTTGATGAAGGGTGCAAGTAAAATGGGTGCTGGAAAGGCTAGTGATAGCTCATACAAACTGGAAGCCCTCCCCACTGGGCTCTCGCAGGGAAGTCATCCTCCTCCTCTGGAAGGTGTCCCTGCCAGAAGGAGAGCGCTGTGTTGGAAGGATGTGATGTGGCAAGGCACACAGCCTCGGGCAAGTGTTGGTCTTGGGGTGGTGAAGTGAAGGGGAGGGCAGCAAGGCCAGAGGGAGGTGGAAAATGAGAGTAAGAAGTTGTGGCAGCACCAACACCAACAACCTGGAGAGAAAGCTGCTTTAGGTTGGAGGTCCTGCCAGTGGTGGACAGGTGCCAGAGGCTGCCCCATCCTGGGATGAGGAAATTAGGACAACAGCTTCCTGCAGGAGGATTTTGCTGAGTTCATATCCCCGGCCATAGATTTTGGGGCTGGGCTGCTGGGGCTGTGACCATTATCACTGGTAGAGAAATGGGTGGGCCTGACTGCATCTCCCAGCCAGCAGTGACCAAGCTCCATCAGCATCCCTGGGCTGGTCCCACAGCTCTTCCCTCCTACGTCAGATGTCACATCACACAATCCCTGATGAGGTGGGCAACAAAGGCGGAAAGGAGGGAGAAGAAAGGCCTTTTGATGACAGTAAGGACCGAATTGGCCAAAGCAGCGGACATGCCCACTGGGCGCCAGTCCCTACAGGCACGGCTCAGTGGCATGAGCAGGAGCCTGCCTTGTTACTTGGGAGTCTCTGGCCAGTCCTGGGGTAGGTCTAGAGCTACATCAGCACCTGCACACCAGACCTGGCTCACAAAACAACATGCATATATACAAATGCTTCCAAAGAAGGCATAAGGGGAAACCACCACCCTATGGGTCCTTCCCTTCATCTGCTTTACCTTCCTTTTGTCTCCCTGCCACACAGGAATCTCTGGGAAGAGTCAGATTCTTTTTGCCCTTGTCTTCACAACCCGCTATCTGGACCTGTTCACAAACTTCATCTCTGTCTATAACACTGTGATGAAGGTAAGGAGAGGGCAGTGCAGCAGAGGTTCCCCTCAGCTCGCCGTGGTTTTTCAGGGAGGTGAGGGTACACGGTCATTAAGTGAGTTTTTCAGCCAGGAAGTGTGGGTAGAGATGCTTCCTTCGGTGTCACTGGCTCTCCATTGAAAAAAAAAACCACCTCACCAGAGCCAGTGAGTGAGCTGAGCCACATTTAGTACCACTAAAACTAGAATGAGATGCTGTGAACCAAGCCTGGGTGTCCTTGCACAGCAGGAATGCTAACAGAAGGCTGCTACCAAGCCAACCTCTTCACACAGAGCCCCAGAGGGACTCAAACACATGTGATCCTCATGGTGGAGCAAGCTTTACTTGACCACTGGAGCATCTCCAGCAGAAGTCAATCCATAAACCAGCACAGGAAAATCATTCACCACCATCTGCCCCTGGCATGGCCACACCAGAACCAGGTTTACGGACCTTTGGCAAAGCTGTCCTCTAAGCACAGAAGGTCTTGTCATCTCCCTTCTCTCCCCCAGGTCATTTTTTTGATATGTGCCTATGTCACCGTGTACATGATCTATGTGAAATTCCGGAAAACATTTGACAGTGAGAATGACTCTTTTCGCCTCGAGTTCCTGCTGGTCCCTGTTACAGGCCTGTCATTTCTGGAGAACCACAGCTTCACCCCCTTGGAGGTAAGGAAAAGCTGAGGCAGGAAAAGGGAGGGGAAGCAGCAGCCTGACACCAGGCAGCAGAGGGAGAAGCATGTTGAATAACTGAGATTTTTAACAGTAAAAGCAAGCAGGAAAGGCAAAGTTGGCAGGCCTTGAAGATGCTCAGTGCTGTCTCCTCTCAGTCCCAGCACAGCAGGCTCATTTTCCCCAACTTCAGCAGCACTATTCATGCCACTTACACATCAGTGCTTTGCCAAAGGAAAAGCTTTGGGCCTTAACACACATTAACCAGCACTGACTCCCCACTGCCTTCGTTTTGCACCTCACAGATACTTTGGACCTTCTCCATCTACCTGGAGTCCGTGGCTATCCTTCCTCAGCTCTTCATGATCAGCAAGACAGGGGAAGCAGAGACCATCACAACGCACTACCTTTTCTTCCTGGGCCTCTACCGTGCTCTCTACATTGCCAACTGGGTCTGGCGCTACCACACAGAGAATTTCTATGACCAGATCGCTGTAGTTTCTGGGGTGGTACAAACCATCTTCTACTGTGACTTCTTCTATCTATACGTCACCAAAGGTAGGTAAATAGGTTGGTATAAATCTAAAATGTTTATTCAACACTCTTGCAATGCACAGTGGAGCTGCAGCTTGCCATGCGTTAATCCTTGCATGACTTCATTCTTCGCTGTATTTGTGATGCATATTGTGCACCTGAAGTCCAGTTTAAAAAAACCATTTGTTGAATGCAAGTGGGCATCACTGCTCACAAAGCTCTAAAATGCATGTGAAACACAGCAGAAATTAAACCAGAGCTAAGCCTAGTTTAACCCCACCTTGGGAAGTTAACAACTGAGGTACATTTAAATTCTACATTCATTCTGAAAGATTATGAATCACGCAAAAAAAAAACCAACTTTGAGGAGGAAAAAATAGCTGCAGGCAGACAATGTACCTGAGAAGGCAACTGCAGACATATGGAGATATTATTAAGCCTACTTTTCCTTTGATGGGAAAGATGTAACATTGTCAAGAACTAATTCTGTAGGAAGATGGGCATCTGCACAGAAGAGACGCTTTCCAAAATCAGATGTCCCTCCCATTTCAGTGCCATGTTTTGGTAAATGGCTACATACCAGAGCTAACAAGTGCACTGAGGGCATAAATTCTGGTAGAACACACTGTGGTTTGCCGAGGCTGAAGTACACTTTAGAACATCTTTCTGTTGAGGAGGACAGAATTGGATGAAACTGCCTGAGTGGACAACTATTTTCTAGTCTGCCAAAAGCAATAGTGATGGCCTGTGTTTGATGTTTCAAGGGATGGATTTTTGGTAGCTTCATGCACTGTACATGCTGATAGAGAGGTGACAGGAGCACTGAGCAGGTGGCTGGCCTTGGCAGATTAAGACTTCCTTCTGTCATTCAATATTTTTGTAGCCAGAAAATCACTTTGTAAAACTGCCATCAAGGTGCTCGACGTCAATTCCTTTTTTTTCCTTTTCAGAACTAATTCCCAGTTTAGCTTCGCTCCATTCATGTGTCCTGTGTCCTTCTGTATTTTGTGAGAAATCGATACCCTTTGTAGTTGTGATGGTGGAACAAAAGGGGGATAAAACACAACTGTTGGCTTTTGGTCTCACACCACTAGTGACAGAGCTGCAAAATTTAGATGATACAGGAGGCAGAAGAAAAAACATTTGTCCCTGGAACATCACAGCAGGAAGAGAATTGCTTTTTTTTCCCTCTTTTCTTTTACACAAATGTTCTGGATCATGGGAGAGAAACAGTGTCTGAAGATATGCAAATGCTTTGCAGTCATTTATGAGAGCCAGCAATATTATAGCAGGTTGCATCTCTCTTACATTCTTTCAAAAACCCCAACTTTTCAAAACATTTCTAACACTGAAGAACTCAGACAAAAGGGCAGCAATGCTGAAGAAAAAAAAAAGCAAAAATGTGTTATGTAAAGAAATGTATTAAATAAGACTTCAGAGCCTATACCAAAGCATTGCAAAGGGATTTTTATAGAATGCTACTTCTTTTTATCTTGTTTTCAAAACTAGATGAGCTCCTTTCTGTTTAACACAAGGACATGAAAGATATCCTGAGAAAGCTTTCAGCTCCCCAAAGCTTGTATTTCACTGAATGGCTGGGGTTGGAAGCAGATAGGGGAAGGAGAGGGGGAATCATCTAATCCATGCCCCCACTCACAGCACATTATTCAAAGTCCTGTCCAGAAAGGTTTTGACTATCTATAGGATGCAGCCTTTCCAGGCAACCTGTGCCGGTGTCTGACCACCCTCTGTAAGATGTTATTTTCTGATATTTAAGTGGAATTTCCCATTGCCCCACGTTCTGTCACTGGGCACCACTCAGCAGAGTCTGGGTCTGCCTCCTTTATTGTTCCATCAGGCATTTGTACACATGGGTGACATCCCCCTTTGCCTTCTCAAGGCTGAACAGTCTCAGCTCACAGCCTGCGCTCATATGTCAGATGCTCCTGTGGTCCTGCATGAGCTCCAATATGTCCTGGGAGCCCAGAGATGAACCCACCACTCCAGCTGTGGCCTCCCCAAGGCTGAGTAGAGAGGAAGGACCCCCACGCTGGCCCTGCAGCTCCAGAGGCTATTTGCTTCTTTGTCACAAGGGCACATTGGCAGCTTGTGTTCAACCTGGCGTCCACCAGCACGCACCAGGGCCTTTTCTGCCAAGCCCCCTTCCAGCTGGGCAGGCCCCAGCACCTACTGGTGCCTGGGGTTGTTCCACCCCAGGGGCAGGACATCCATTTGTATTCACCGACCCTCACAAGTTCCCCCCAACCCATTTCTCCAGCCTGGCACAGTCCCTGTGGCCCCACCTGGTGCATCAGGCACTCAATACCCTCTGTGGTCCATTGTCAGCACATTAGTACCCTTCCCTCTGGCACCCAAGAGAGACAGGCCCCAGCACCCACCCCCCCAGGGTGCACCCCTGTACCAGGCCAACAGCCACCATGCCCTGCCAACCACCACACATCCAGGGCAGCTGCTGTTCCATGCACCCCACCAGAGGCATCCCTGCCATCTCAAGTTTCAGGGTGGGCCAGGCTTAGGAGGGGCTGGCCACAGACCATTTATTCAGGCCAGGGTCTATATCAAAAGAGGAAAGCACTAAGGATAGCACATCATTAGAAAAAAAATTAAAAGGGTCCACATTGGAGAGCAAGTAACCATGGAAAAGGAAACAGGAACCTTTTCCTTTAGCATAAAGGATAATAGCTAGCTTGTGGAGATTCCCCTCTTAGCAGCAATTTTGTAGTGGTTGTCTCCCATTTGCAGTTTGCAAACCTGGCACCCCACTACCCCATGCTCTAAACAGCAATTTAGAAAAAATAAAATTGTTGAAACAACAAAACAGTTGAATTCCCTGAAGTTCATTCATTACCTTTTCTCTTTTGCACAGTCCTAAAAGGAAAGAAGCTAAGTCTCCCCATGCCTGTTTGAAGATATTCCACTGACAACGCAAGAAATTCTGAAGATGAAGCTTTTAAGATCACAGCTTTCCTTCCCTGGCCCTTTTTGACTAACGGATGGCTCAGCCAAGTTTCAACCTGGTGACAGGAAGACGAGGCTTGGAAAGCTGAAATGCTTTTGATCCACGAGACTCTTCCCCTCCATTTTTTTATTTTTTCTCACTTGAATTTGGTGCTAGTCTAAGTAGTGCTGGCCAATACCGAAGTAGTGCAAATTATTCTCTCCTGGCTCTTCCCAGCATCTACCTCCAGAACACACCTCTACCTTGAACATGCGGCAGTACAAGGAGTATAAGGGAATTTGTAACTCCTTTTAGTTCTTTGGCAAGTCCCCGTGGTAAAGGGACCATGGTACTATTAAGTCTGATAGCACAGACAAAAGCTGCTGACCTATTTCACAGGTGGCCACATCTGATACAGCAGATGCTACAAACTGTTATTTTAACTCTGTATGAACTAACACCCTCTTCAAAATTAAGTCTGCCTGACCCTCTCCCTATTTAGGTCCCATAACATTCAAGAAAAACACATTCCCTTTGAATTATATGAATCTTCCAGTTCCACAAGTATTCAAATATCCTCCCCACTCACTCACTTTCAGTTCCTCATATCCTACAGATGGGGACAATTTCAATTAAAATTCAGTGGGTTGCCAAGAGGTGTTTCCATCTCTCTGAATTTGACTTCAAGAACTGGGAAGAACAGGGGCAAAGACGGCTTTACATTTCATAAATAAAGACAAAGTTCACAATTTATTGACAACAGTGTTTTTATTTATACCTACAAAAGAAAACAAGATGGTATCAAAAGGACAATTTACAAACTAAGAATAGTAACATAGCTCTTAGTATCCTGTGCCTGACCACCACAGATCTATGAATCTCTCAATTCAAGTCTTTATTAATACAACAGGAATGTGTTCAGAGACCAGCAGATGTGTGAAACAAGATGCTGATCCCACACAAAGCCACTAACCCTTCCATTGTTCAGAGAAGTCCAAACAGTAAATTGCTTCAGGAAGTGGGAGGGGAGGAGACACCCAACTCATCTGACACTCCCACAAACTTTTTACAGATTGAAAACAATGCAAACAACACTAGAGACTAATGCTTTATCCACAAGGGCTCCCCAGCTGGTATATGGAACAGAGCAGCGAGCACCAGGTGGGACAGGGGCAGCACATGCCACGGTGCATTTATGCACTTAACAGTCTGGTTGACACTCTGAACTGAACCGAGACCCGGGACTTCAGCTGACCTCAATGGCAATAAAGCAAGACTTGGCATCGATGTTTACATGTGCACAAGTCCCCCCAAAAAGAAGTGAAAGCTATAACAGACTATAAGGCAGCTTTGGCGGTCCAGAGACCCTTTTTAAAGCCAGTCAGTGAGATGTCCTACTCCTACACCCCTCAAACACATTTCTGCATTCAACTCTCAAATTTAAAACAAAGAAAGAAAAAAGAAAAAAAGCTCTATATTTGCTTGTGAGGGAGGCCAAAGACAAATCAGTCAGTGCCTGGATAAACAAAATGTTTTTGGCTTTCACTTAACACAAGCAAAGGAACTTCCTGCCCAGGCACTGGAATTATAAAATGGGATGAGGGAACTGAGGTTCTGGAAGATCTCTCCCTTCTCCCTGTCAGCAACCTGCCTGTGTACTGCACTCAAAAAAAAAAAAAAATAAAAAAAAGGCAGCACATTCAACCCCCAAAATTTTACTCTGGTAAGAAATTAAATTTAAAAAGAAATCATTTCTGTATAAGCAAGCTCTTTTCCAGGGCTATAAGAAGTTCCACTCAGCTACAGAAGGAGTGGGCTGCCTTGTTCATCCATATGCAAGAACGCCAACAGAAAAAACCCACAAGCCCCTGCACTCTCATAATGCAAAGAGCATGCCTCAAACCAGGAGACGTATCCATTCTTTTGTCACATTATCAGATCAAGAGCAGCCAACTCCTGTTATCATCTACTGTCTCTGAACCGTCTGGTATTAGAAATAACAAGTCAACAACATGCTTTACTAAAGAGGGGAACCCCCCTCACACCCACCTTAGCCTGTAAAATAAACAAGTTTAATTTACGTATTTACTAAAATTTCACTCTTCTCTAACATTTTCTAAAATACTACCTACCTGCAAGAGCTCAGCTCAAAGGGACCAATGGAGCAGGGAAATGCACTCAAAAGCCAGAGAAAGCAATAGTCAGAGCAAAGGTACAAAAGAAATAAAGCTTCAGAATCAGGATGCACTAACCAGCTCACTGCTTACCTCATGGAAAGGAGATCCCAGTCAATCTCCTTCTCCTCCTCTCTTTCTCCCCCCTTGCCCTCCCTCCCAGCCCACTCTATTCAAGCCTCTTAAATTCAAGTGTGGAAAACTCTGTCACATTTTATTGAGCGTAGTGGCATTCAGAACATTCCCCATGGCAAAAGGGAGGGAGTTTGTGAAGGACAGACGAACAAGATACGTTGTTCATCATTTGTTTAGTTTCTTGGCTCTCAAGTATGACTTCTCTCAATAAATTCAACAACAGGAATTTAAGAGCAGAAACTAATTTAACAATAACCAAGCTCCGCATGAAATAACTTACTTGACTGAGTATTTTAGCAGTGGTACCCACAGCAACTATCAGGTTTTCAGGTATCAAATCCAAGGCAGGTTTGGTCTCAGACACTGGATTTTTAATTCCAACCTCCCTACTGCTGGCTGCTACAGGTATGAGAAGATGGGGCTTCCAGAGCTGTGGAAAATGCCGACAATAAGGCATCACTCTGAACACTGCCAGCTCAGACAAATGAGCAGAGTTTTCCTATAGAAAGTCATCTACGATAAGATTACAAGCAATAATAGTGAGCTACTTTAAAAAAAAAATAAGATTAGGAGAAGTGAGCATTGCTCCCTTGCATTTATATTTTAATTGAAGTGCTTTTTGGCTCCCCGAAGTTTCCCACCTCTCTTGATACTTCCTGAAATTAAGTTAACATGTTACAGAATAGAAATTTCTTCCTCTCAAAAGCAAGTTTTCACACAAACCTTAGACACCAAGATGATCGACCTGGGACCTATCTGCCTTATACCCATTTCCTTTAGAGAAAATAAAATTTCCAAACTCATCAACATGCAAGATAAAAATAATGAATTTCTAGTCAACTATATATACCTCTTAAAAAAAAAAAAAAAGAAAAAACCAAAGAGGACAGGGTCATTAATGTGGACTGGGGGCCATTTTTGATGGGCTTAAGGGATTTGAATGGTGAATTCTAAGTCTAACCTGCATGAGAGACATCACAATGGGAAAGAAGAGAAAGAAAAGGTTCCTTTAAATGCAAGAGGTCTACACTGGTCACCAAGTGGTCTCATTTGCGGGAGGGGGGCGGGGGAGGGGGTGGGGGTGGGTACTGGTAGGTGGCAGTCTGTCCCATATAGCCCATCACGTTAGTGGCAGGGGGCTGCGGAAACTGTTGTGACATGAGCGGCTGTGGCTGCTGGCCCGAGCGCCCCACCATCCCTGCATACTGCTGTTGGGTAGTGCTCTGTGAGGTTCTCCCAGCGGTGGCAGCTGTGGTGCTGGCACCATAGCCACTAGCACTGTACTCTGCAGTGCCATAGCCACTCGTGCCATAGGCAGCTGCTCCATAGCTCCCTTGAGTGTAACCATACTGGCTCTGTGCTGCCCCAAAAGCAGAATTTGGGCTCCCGTAGGCACTGCCATAGGTCTTGTTGGCTCCGTTGGCATAACTGTCAGCACGCTCACGGTCTCTGAAGCCACCTGAGTCTCTCCGGCCCTCTTTCACTCCCCGGAGCCTCCTGTCACACTCTTCCTGGTACATCAGGTTAGGGTTGTTTACTGAACTGCTCGTTCGGTAACGAGAACGACCTCCTGGCGATGGATATATTAAGATTTAGTACCATGAACAAGTCTTAAACAATGAATTCTGGAACAACTGTGCCCCTATTTTTCCCCTTCTACATTCCCAATTTTGCCCACAAGGAGCACATTCTTTTGACTGTAACTTCCCTGCATAGCTGTGCATATGCCTCATCATTTTGTTCAAAGTGTAAACACAAAGTTCAACAAGGGTTCTTTATGCACGTGCTTGGAGACAAGAAAACGGAAGAAATTCAGGGCTAACTTGGAAATATAAGGAAACTTCTTATTCGTTCAAGGAATGGGAGCAAAAATAGTCTCAGTCCCTGAAATAAGTCAGTGTATCCCTTTACTCATTTCAATTTTGCATGGGTATCCACATGCATAGTGTTGCGTGTGCTTAGGTAGGAGCCATAAGGAATTACTTACTTCAAATGAAATCAGCCCTGTGATGACCTTATCAGGAGAAAAATAAAATTCTACAGCTCAGGTAAAACAGGGGACTGCCTCTCTGTTGGGACATTATGTAGATATACTACATCTACATAACATGTTGTGACCTCGAGTACTTATCTGTTTGCTATCTTAAGACTTGCACTTACTATTTCCCTACCCTCTTTTAATCTTTCCCTCCCTCAAAAATGGGGAACCTATTCCCTGTGTGGCCCTTCTCCCATATGCCTTTACCTCCACCACCACCTCCTCCTCCTCTGTGGTCCACAAGCTGCATCAGCTTTGGATTGATGGCTTGATTGGCTTCTTCCAACACTTTGATAAGCTCCCTGGCTTGTTTCAGGTTTCCTGGTGTGAAGAAGGTGTAGGCAGTACCTTTGTTGGTACTACGTGCAGTACGGCCAATACGGTGCACGTAATCTTCGGAGCTGTTCGGATAGTCGTAGTTTATCACAAATTTAACATCTTCCACATCTTGTGAAGTGCCCAGGAGCGAAGCACAGTGAAGGGGTGGGGTTGAGGAAAGGGGAGAAGAAGAGAGGACGTGCCAACGAAAGGTGGGGAGCACGAATGCAGGTGACAGTAATAAGAAAAAAAAAAAGCAAAGTTAGTAATTGCATGGAATAAACACAAGACAGACTCATCCCAAAAGAGCAGAAGACTCAAATTTAAGACTATCAGGAAGAAAGGTCAATGTCCTGAAATAGAGTAATAATTTTAAAGCAGCTCTGCCCTGCACTCAAAGTTATCCTCCCCAGAATGCATTTCTCTGTCTTCCTGTATCAGACATCAGTGTTTGTGAATAAGCTAATTGAATTTTGGGTTTTTCTTTTTAAACACAATCTGTAAAGTGAAAATGTCACCAACAGACAGAGCAAACTAGGGTGGAGGAAGGGTAGAACTGCCATGGTAAAGCTTTTACTCTGTTGGGAGAAGTCTAACAAAAAATAACAGTAATGAGATCACTTACCTTCCACTCGGTAACATGAAATAAAAGGCAATCTTAAAAATATTTCCTTTTACAGTCCTAATAGAATACAGTGAACTAATTTCCCTAGCCTAAAGCTTAAGACACTCCAATTACATTAGTATTATTCAGCCAACTCATTAAAAATTATGCAGACCTAGAATATCTTAACTCAGCTTTGCAGTTATCGCCAGAATGCATTGCACTAACATTTCACTGTGCTGCTCTGTCCAGTTCTGGCAAGCTTGCATAATTTGGACAATCCTGAATTCCATCAGCAATTTCCTACTTCCAGTGTCAGATGGAAGCAGGAAACAAAATGATCAAAATGGCTTTGTGTGCAAAACAGTATTAAAATTTGGGAGATCAGAACTGTGTGCTTTACAAAACGACAGACTTTGTAAACTTGCAGGACAGAAATCAAGCAAATGTTAGTGTAACGCTTCAGTGAAAGCACCTTAAGTACCAAAAGCACCTATTTACTATAGTATACAATATTTTCAAATGCAGTTTTACAGTAAATGCCCTAACAGCTCATAAAAAAATATTTAAAATCTGCATTTTAACAAGAATATTCTGAAAATATCCAAGATAAAACACAGATTTTTGTGATTTCCTTTCCCTTTTTTTTTTTTTTTTGGTTTTAAAGAGAGAAACATTCTCTGTTTGTTACCAGACCGATGCACACTCCCTCCTCCTGTGGGAAACCGCTGCAGCCGATCCCGTCTCTTTGCCTTTTATTTTTGGCGGCCTCCTTTCGAAAACTCCGCCCTCTGACACGGGACCACTGGAGCGCGGGGAGCATGCATCAAGGGTCCGTGGCAGCGAGAAGTCCCCACACACGCTCGCTCTGTGAACTGGCTTAGACGCTTCTCTGTAGCCCCATTTGGTTGTGAAGCGCCGGAGAACCTGGGTTCAGGTAAGTTTCAGGTCCTCCAACGCTTTTTGTCCCCTATTTGGGGTTCTTAGGGGCAATTGTCAAAAAAATGAAGATACAAAAATTACATCCAAAGGGTCAGACTGCATCTATTGCCCAGACTGCATCAATTTCAAAGGGGTTGTAGGAAAAATAAAAACATGAGGGTTGTAGTGACAAGAGGGGGACTTTATGTCTGTTTCTTATTACAGCAAAGGGGGGGCTCCTCAGTCTTTGCTGACTCCAAAGTCCTGAATCACACCAAAAAAAGGGAGTGAGAAGGCAGGTTTCACAGGGGGCTGCGCGAGTCTCCAGCTAGGGTCCTTGATGCAACAGGTTTTTTAAAAAAGGAAAGTGAAGTAAAGAGAGGAGTACGTGTGACAGATTGCATCTTCACAGCCAGAGTGTAACTAGACTGACAAACTCCAGGCTACATGGTCCTCAGTCAGTCCTGTTTTGCACATCCAGTAGTAAGTGA